CATAATTCAAATTGTGGGTTTGAGGATTATTGGACTGTTGGAAGCTACTCCCTCACACCCTACCAATCAATGGAAGAAGAAAGGACAAAAAGTCTGAGACGCAAACAAACAGATTCTGTTCTATTTTGGGCAGTTCCCAAAGTTTTAATCATTCTATTCTTGGCAGGCAAGTCAGCAGTCCTGTTTCTTCCACAGCAGGGTCCAAATAAGCAATTCTAATTCTTCCTTGTGGGTAGGGAAAATATCAAAAAGGTTTTGATGTGACAAGGTCAAATAGAGCAGATTTGTACATTTAGGTTTAGATTCTGATATTCTATGAATAGCTCCACTGAAGTCAATAAGATTAGTCTTGAAGTAAGATGCTACTAAGCAAGAGTCTGGGTCTCCAATATTTTAGACACTACTGTTTCTGCAGGGAATGATTACAGGTTCTCTATGCAGATTCACAATGTACTGACTAAGGGTATGTCTACACTACCCCGCTAGTTCGAACTAGCGGGGTAGTGTAGACATACCCCCAGTGAGTAAGAAAATAGTATTTTGTTGTCAAATTTCCTCCTGTTTTGAATCAATCTTAGACTTTTTGTGTTTCAGGAAAGCCCAACCCTGGTCCATATAAAAATTTCCCCCTAAATATACTCTGCTGACATGCTTATTCCTGGAGGCCTGCTTAATTACCCCAAATGTAAAAAGAAGGTGGAAGAGTTCTGTTTGAATAGCCCTGATGCTAGCAACTTAAACTCCTGGCACATGCTAATTCAATAGCCACTGAACATTTGGAGTTAAAGTGCAAGCAGCCCAGCTGAATAGGATGCAGTTCTTCTTATTCTTGTGCTGAATATCAGGGTCAGAGGTGAGTACCAGATAATACAAAACAGATGTAGGGAGAGTAGAAAGAATGCTGTTCACTTATGGTGACCACCTACATTTCAAGGAAATAGGACAACTGTATGAAAAATACAAGGAAAGGAAATTTTTTAAGGGACTGAATCAATCAATACTTTTGGTACAAAAATCATACAGAGTACAAAATCCTATATTGGTCTCCCAGTGGATTCATTACATAAATATTGCAGAAATACATAAAAATGTCCACCCTATATTGACTTTATGTACCAAATACGGGGCATCTTTAAAATACTAACAGCATGATCCCTCTATACACTTTACAAACTAGAGAGGAAAAGTCTTTTTACACTGTCCACATGATCTATCTCTGCTCTGTCATGGAGCAGCAGAGAAGCAACCATGTAAAAATGAGATGAAGAAAAAAGAAACTCTGAATTTGAAGGACTATCTTCTGAACATTTGTCTAGATAAATAGATGCAGACACAGAGTTCCTCTTGCGTATCCACAAAACAAAGATTCAAGATGGGAGAGGAGAATTTCATGAGTAATCTTAGCTGCTCCATCCTGTTTCCTTACCTTGAGCTAAATCCTCAACCTTATTCCAGGTGTGCAAAGGGGATTTGGTTATCTCAAACAGGCAGCTGAGAATTCCCCCAATAAAGGCATACAGAGTGGGAAATTTTATGTAATCACTCCCGCTGGTGTAACTTAGAGCAGTTACTTGGCAGCTTTAAGTTAGTAAGGCTGTTTCAGACTCTGACAGCCTCACAATTGGGAGAAAAAGAAAAGTTCCACCTTCCCCCCTTGTCTCCTTAGTGCAGATGATGATCCTATATTTAAATATTACAAGAGATGGGTGAGAAGAATCCATTTATTTTAGGTATCAGCAATAAGTAAACAACCCACTGTAATTTCAGGGAACACAGAAATACGTGAAACAATTTTAGAGACAGCAGCCACCTATAGCTCCTACTTTTATTTTTCCTGCCAAGAGATTTTTTTAAAAAAAATATTCTGAAATTTTATAAAGGAAGTTCTTATAAGCTGTAAGGTTTTAAAGTTTTCCTGATTATTTTACTAGAAGATGGAAAAATGTAAACAAGCTTTGATTGCAAGAAAAAAATGATGCCTAACTTGGGACCAAGGGTATTTTTACTATTTTACAGGCATTTGCTATCTAAATAGGTTAAAAATAATTGAGCAAATCATGATAAAACTTTTCTGAGAAAACATAGGAAACTTTGTTGAAAATGTCAATAAAAAGGCTGTTCCGTTTTATTTTTACCAGAACTAGCAATTGTGTATACAGAAGGCATTCGGTTCAGAGTGCATAGTTTATCTGTGGTATGATTACTGCATTTTTTTTGAAAAGTAATGTCTGTAGAAAAACCTTAAGAAAGGTTCTGTGTGACAGACAGTAAGTTAAAGAATAGGTATGAGGAGGCAAATTCCCACAGAGTAAAAAACAGTGAATAAAAATAATGATATATAATGAATGAATGACTTGACGTCATCTGCCTGTACTTGGTATCTATTTTAGAATGAATTACTCCATTCATTTCTATGGAAATTTTCTTCTGGTAGTGAGTATGCGATTCGACTTCCTGATTTGGTGCAATAAAGAGATGAGCAAGTAAAGGTCCACAAAACTCAAATGGTCTAGGTCCGGACCTCTCCAGTGCTGTTTGGAGTTGCTGATACTCTACTTTTAAAAGCCCCAGTTTCCTCATTTAGACAAGGGGTAGAAATGAAGGAAAGGAAAATTTATACTGAGGACCTGGGTAGGCCTCAGCAATTCTGAAGCATATATCATATCTCAAGTAACATTAAAAATAAACTCCCCAATTTTTAGAAAGGGAGAAATATTCCAAGTTATTTGCAATCTAAAGAAGTCATTCTTTTTCACAATCAAAACAATCTGCAGAAATTACTCCTAGTCTATTACTAAAGCTTGGCTGAGACAATCTAGCAAATCATTTCTCAGAACGTGGAAAGGAATGTATCCCCCTCAGTTAACTTTTGGGTTGCTGCCACTTTCCATTTTGGCAACCAAAGGAATGTTGTGGGCACCATATAAAGGCATCTGTGGCAGCCTGAGGGTTAAAGTAGACATTTCTTATCTTTTGACAGATGGTTAATTCATGGTCATTATTGCTAAATTCAATTGCTTAATAATTTAGATATGACAAACATGTGTGTAGTAATGTTTGCCAGGGCACCCTTCTAGGAATCCCAGGCTGCAATAACCCCCTCAATGCTTTCACCATATATCCCCATGCTGAGTGTGACAGATTGAAACAAATGCAGGCTTTCTGGGTATTTTAACTCCCTTGCACCACTTTTTTCCATTAAAGAGTGGTTCTAGGGAGTTGTGTGTAGTGAGTTCCTTTCGCTTGGGATGCCTGAATTTGCTTGGCTAAAAACAGTCATTTAATCAGTCGGTTTAATAAAAGACCAATTTTTTACAATGGTCTCAACCTGTCCTCCAGTTCCGCAGCTGCCCATAATAGTAGCATTTCAGCAATCTTATTGCCTAATTTATAGCCAATAGAGCCTAATCCCAAAAGATGCTGAGCATCAGCAGCTCCCACTGAAGTGATGCTCAGTCCCTCTCAAGATCAGCCCATCATCAGGAAGGCAAATGTATTAGCATTTGCCCCAACAACTAATTGCACTTGTAATTTTCAGCCTGCAATTAACTGTAGTTGCAAAGATGGAGCCAATTACATCAGCAGCAATTTTAAGTATCAGGCACATGATGTTAGAAGAAACAACAGGCCATTCTGTGTCCACCTCCCTGCACCAAAGTCCAATCCATTTTAATTTTTAAATATTTCTTTTACAATTCAGTTCTCTCTTCATTGCATTCCTTCAACTGCTACAGGCAACAGAACATCTCTCTTCCTCACTCTGGCACCACAAATCAGAGATCAGATCGGAGATCTGATCCAAAGCCCAATGAATTCAAAAGACTCCCATTGACTTCAAAGGGCTTTGGGTCAGACCCAAAGTCAACGTACTAACATTCTAGCACACAATACCACTCTGTAACGCTGGCTGAAATCCATGTAATTTATATGTTGTTCTAGAGCTGTGCAACATTCACAAAACTCCCCAAATCTGAAAACTGCTGGCTCTTTTGTTTCATTTCAAATGAGAAACAGAGTGCAGGTTTGCAAAACATTTTGCCAAGGATCGCTAATTTATCGTGCTGAGTTAGACTAATTTACGGGCTTTGTATTGAAGTATTCAAAATGTGTGGCTCTGACCACAAAAACCAGGTATAGCTCAGTAACTTTGGGTTTCCTTTCAAGATCTTAAGTTTATAGGTTTCCTTTACATTTTTTCTCCTTTTAACTTACACTTTATCACTTTATGCCCCTCTTTAAAGCCCTGATTATAATACTTTTAGAATGCTAGCTTTTGGGGACAGAAGTCTTGCCTAGTACATTATTGTTAATATAGAAAAAATATATTAATAAAACGAATGATAAAACAATTATAATAAATGGGAAAAGTCAATGTGTTTTCCGGTGTGGCTACTAGTCTTGTTCACAATTCTGGCAAGTCCTGAAGCAGATATATGAAACCTAAATTTTACCTATAAGTTTGCAACTGTTTGAACCCTGCTAAAAACTGAACCTAAGCCCTTTATGTGTTTCGGGCTTGTGAACACATTAACCATTTCTGACATAAAATATTCACCATATCTGCTTCAAATTAAACAAGAGCTGTGGAAGCCCCTTTAAGTCAGCATCTTGCTTTTACTATGTAGTCCAAATGCACAAAAATCATAATGGCTTCAAACTGTAAGATCACTTGGGGTCTGATCTTACAAGGTGCTATGAAGGAATGAACACCCTGAACTCAGAGTGAAACTAATGGGAATGGAGGTACATAGCACCTTATAGGATTTTCTTAGTATCTTGTGGGACTTATTCCTTGGTCAGTAAGTGCTCTGACACCTGGAAGTTTTTAAAACACCACCACCTTTTCTCACCTGCCATTTGAGCTTGTAACCATATGTTTGTAAAATGTTTATAGAACACAAATAAAACCAATGAAAGTTCATCATAACAGTACACCAACATATGTGCAGAGTGAAAGACCATCTAAGCTGGAAGAAAATATTCTACATTAGTCCCCTCACCTTGTGTATCCAGGTTAACACACACTTCTGGTGAGCAATCAAGTTTTTGCAGTCACAGAAGTGCAGCAGAGCGTCACGACCCATCTCGTCTCCTTCTCGACAGATAAAGCATTCTTTTGACTCTAATTAAAAAGATTAATAAAGTAAGAGAACACATCAGGTTTGCATCAATCACAGCCCATGTGGTTCTTATTATTGCAATTAAAAGTTATCTCCTCAAAATTGTTGGATGAAAGTGCCATGGTCTACAATTGAAAACACATTTGAAGGGAGTTTTCCAACTTATTCTATTTTAAACAGTCAAATTTAAGCAACATTGTTGAGATAATATGTTCAAAAGGTCCTTAAAGGAAAAGGAAAAATACATTTTTGTTCCATGAAACCCCCTTATAAAGAATGTGCATTGTGCATCTTAGTGCTTTTTGTTTTAAAAAAGAATGAACATTTGGAGCCTTATTTTCAAAGGTGCATCAACACAGTCTTTGATGATATCGAAGGGGTAATTCAGACTTCAGTCCTGCAAGATGATGAGGCCTTAAACCTGCACTCACATCACTGGGAGTTGGCACACGCAACATTTTTTAGGAGCCCTCTGCTCTTTCCATGATCGAGTCTTTTCTGTGCTTTACATTTTTGCACCCAACCAGTCAAAATTTTAGCTGGTGCAAATTAGCTCTGTTAATGTCAGCGGACTGGTCTATTACATCCACAAAGAATTTGATCCTCTTTTTTTAACGCAAATTTTTGCACCCACAAAAACTAGGATTCATGTATGCCAACTGCACTTGCAAGCTTAAATTAATTATTTTTGCACATGCAAAATCTTGGTGCAAATCCAAATGTACACAAAATTTCACCCGCAGTTTTAATTTAATGGAAATCTGGCTCTTTATGACTTTCTTCCAAGTATGTTACAGGTTTGAATTTTGTTGCAATGCATAATTTTAATGACAGGATGATTAAAGTATGTTAGTGTACTCTGATGACTGTGTCAAGCTTTCTATTCTTAAGCCAGTTTTTTTGTTTTTTAAACTGCAGCTCTTGTATTTGGCAATAGGTGGAATTCATGGAATTCAACTAAAGAACATCCTAAGTGCAAAATCAGGCACTACTTTCTAAACTAGGTTTTCTTGATGCTATTTAAATAAAGATTTTGAGCACTGGGAAATGGATCTCTTTCCGAGAAACAAAAGGGAACAAAACAATTCTTAATATGTAATGTATAACAAAGAAACGCCCCAGTGAATATCACAGAGGAAATACTTGGATTTTTATGAAATGGATGCTAAAAGTACCCTGCCATCTTTATTTGCACTGAAGGCTGCTTATAATTTTGCCTTTTCTGGTTTCCGAAAAACTGCTGTCCCTCACATCCCCTGATGCTGCTCCTGAGGCAGCAGGACAAAGGCATTGTGGATTTACATGACAAAATAAGGATAATCGATTTCTATCTACTCAAACACCTTTTAAAAAAATGCATTATGGTTTGTACTGCAATGTTGGCATCTAAGGGCCACATTTTTTTCTCTGACATAAGTACTCAGCTCTCACCACTTTCAAGGAGCCACATGTACCCCTGTGAGGGCAATTTGGAATTTAAAGAACAATCATTTGTGAAAAAAGAAACAGGAGAGAAGTACAGAATATGCACCTATACTTGCATGGCATAGGGGAAATCCTGACCCTATTTGCAAGTGGAACTTTCCTTGCAATGGCCACAATGAATATATGTGCTTTGCTTGAAAGCTTGTCTCTTTCAGTAAGTCATTACAATAAATGATATCACCCAACACCCCTTTCTTCACAATGAATATATATTTATCAAAGAAAATACAGTGAAAAGCAGAGTCATGATACCTGATGTCTGATAAAAAGTCTTTATATGCCTAATACAGAGGATCAGTTGTTCAAGAATAAACATGACCCATTTAATAGTGCAAGGTGTCCAGCATCTACAGTACTGTGCTAAATACTGGTCATGCAAAATTAAAGCTGCCTGGCATTAAACATTACTTTTGTCTTGCACTAAGAATTTTCTTTTTGACCAGTAGATATAGATTACATTCTCACTGGAGCCATTTCCTTTCCCTTTCTACAAGGTCTGCCACCTTTTGGAAATGCATCACCTCTTTGAGCTTCCAGAATATTTTTGAGCTATATATCCACATCTAAGGATGAAAATATAACTTAATATTGATCCCTGAATGTAAATTTAAACAAGTGTAGGAATGGGCAACTCAATTCAGAGAAAAATTCCTTAGTCATCCAAGACTTGGCCATTGATCCTGAGGAAGAAAGGGGGAGTAAGAATTCCTTTCATAATCTGTGCAGACCACCTGAATCCTTTTCTATCCTTGGTCTGAGGAATTATACTTAGGGAAAAAACATGGAATAGGGTTTCAAGAATGTATAGATGATTTTAAATTAGAGCTAATAGGGTTTCAAGAATGTATAGTTGATTTTAAATTAGAGCTAATTAGAGAAAATCAAAGTTAATATAATTTACCCCCTTTTACTCAAATGGTAACACTTTCTAGATTCGTACCTGTTTATCAACATACTCAGATACCCCCAACTTGAATAAGGCATACAGAGTCTAAGTGAGTGCATGGAAATCCAAATTACACATCATCATGAATTTAGCATAAGTATGTAAAGAAATTTTAACCAATTAGGTGAGGATTATGATCTAAAATGCAATGACCAAAAACATGTATAAAAAAATTAAGATAAACGGTATCAGAGCTTATAAAGTAGTGGGTAGTGCCCACGAAAGCTCATGATACCATTTACATGTTCTGTTAGGCTACGTCTACACTGGCCCCTTCTTCGGAAGGGGCATGCTAATTTTGAAAGTGGGAATAGGGAAATCCGTGGGGGATTTAAATATCCCCCGCGGGATTTAAATAAACATGTCCGCCGCTTTTTTTCCGGCTTGGGGAAAAGCCGGAAAAAAGCGTCTAGACTGGCCCGATCTTCCTTTGAAGTAGGAATAAGAGATCCTCTGGAATAGGGCTTTATTCCGGAGCATCGGGCCAGTCTAGACGCTTTTTTCCAGCTTTTCCCCAAGCAGGAAAAAAAGCGGCGGACATGTTTATTTAAATCCCGCGGGGGATATTTAAATCCCCCACGGATTTCCCTATTCCCACTTTCAAAATTAGCATGCCCCTTCCGAAGAAGGGGCCAGTGTAGACGTAGCCTAACAGAACATGTAAATGGTATCATGAGCTTTCGTGGGCACTACCCACTACTTTATAAGCTCTGATACCATCTACATGTTTTGTAAATCTTTAAAGTGCTACTACACTATTTGTTGTTTTTTAAGTTTATTTTAGTGTAATTAGCATATCATGTACCAGCTGCACACAAGGATAGGATATCACCAGTTTTTATAGGTGCGTAGAGTTCAACATAAAGGGAAATTGCTATATAAAGAACATAAGAATGGCCATTCTGGGTCAGACCAAATCCCATCTTCTGACAATATCTAGCCCAGTATCCCGTCTTATGACAGATGCTAAAGCCAAGTGCTCCTGAGGAAGTGAACACAACAGGTAATCATCAAGTGACCCATTCCCTGTCACCCCCTTCCTGCTTATAGCAAACATAGATTAGGACTATCATCAAAGTCTCCCTACCCTCCATTTCCTGAACATCTCTCCAAAGATTAAACTATGCCTTTTCCTATTGCTGTTTTTAGCCATAGTAATTAAATAAACCATGGTCAGGGATCCCAAAACAAACATGGATGTTTCCATTCATTCTTCATGCAATCTTGCAAGATTTCTAAAGCGTGAGATTTTGCACTGACTGGATCTGCAATGACCCATCAGAAACTAGCAAGAAACTGTTCAGACTGGATGATGCATGCTACTTAACTTTTATTCACTAGAACTGAGGCACACTACAATCTGAAGTTTCTACTGGTTTCCTCCGCTTAGGCACTTGGTCACTACGATAAATAAATTTCCCAGTGTCAGAACTTCTAGAAGGTAGTATGGAAGGTATGGAATTACTGTGGTGACATGCAGTATATGGCAACTGTCACTCACTCCATACTAAAAAGTCCCTCATCTTTTAGGCTACATCTACACTGCAAGGTTTTTGCACAAAAAGCTGCAGAACATCCACACCTCAAATGCACTTTTGCGCAAGTAAATCAGCAGTAAAACGGCAGAACAGAGGGCATTTGCTGGTGTAGGTAAATCTCCTTCTACGAGGCATAACTCCCTTTTGCGCTACAGCTATTGTGCAAAAAGATAAGTGTGGACGCTCCAAAGGGGTTTCTTACAGAAGAAACCCCTATGGGAAAAAGCACAGGTGCTCTGATGGCCATTCTGTGAATGGCCATCAGAGTTTTCTTGCGCAAGAGCATCCATGCAGTGTGGACGCTCTCTTGCACAAAAGCACATCATTTTGAATGTGTGGACATTCTCTTGCACAAGAAGTTTTTGTGGAAAAACTCTTGCACAAAAGGCTTCTTGCGCAAGAAGCCGGCAGTGTAGATGTAGCCTTATTGACT